CGAGACAAACAAAATGGTTTTAATATTTTTAATCCCATTTTTCTCGATACTGATTCGTGAGATATCATCATCAAGTAAGGCGGGATTATATACTATCCTGCTATCTTGAGAACTGCAGTTAGTACGATTTTACATTGGTAGGCACGGATTGCTATGTCTTTTCTTAAATTCTACCTCATTGGAAATGGTTTTCATCTTGTTTCCATTCCCCGGATGCCCTCCTGCGGGGGACGGGACGGGGTTAAGCTTTGATTATCTTGTTTCCACACCAGCACGCAACTTCAGATTTTAAGTCGGGAGGAGTTTTAGTGATAGCTAGACACATAGATAACGTTTTTTATTCCTCGTTTCTATTTTTATTTGTGATTTTTAATGTGAATTTTTTGTTAGTTTATGTAAGTGATTATGGGAATTGTGAATTTTTTATGAATGTGTATACTTGTGGGGAGAGTAGATATCGGCCATGTCAACCTTCATCTATGAAAAGGTACCCCAACATAGACTGGACTGGACTGGATAGGATGTAGACCAAAGTACCTGCCGGCAAAACGGGCATCTCATTTCTTCATCTAACTCAGAGGTCGCCAAACTTTTTTGATCATCGACCCCTATATAATTTTTCGAAATCTCCATCGACCCCCACAAAAGTAATTTTCTGTTAATTAAAATAAAACTCTATTAGANTTTTCATTTTCACGAAACACCACTTCGGAGACGAGCTCGTCATCAGTGAATCAGTGATGACTCCTAATCGTCACCGAACCAGTCACAGTGACCCGAATCACCACGATTGTGGCCCCCCTAAGATCTTATTGTTCAACGCATAGCAAAATTACTAAGACATATTGCATTATGGCGTCTGCAACAGGGACTTTTTCTCCAGTATTAAGTTCGTAAAGTTTAAATTCTAATTCAGTCATGTTTTTATAGATTAACATGAAAAACTTATACACCTTATACATTATTATTATCGATGCATTTTACCCACAAATATTATTTTAGTACGTCTTTTATAATTAATTATAATAAAATCTAATTTCTAATAAGAATCAAATACTTTATAGTCCAGACCTTTGATGTGATCTTAAGATCCATGGACACGAAAACAACAACAATCAAATACTTTAAATTTGTAAACTTACCATCTTCAATGACCGTATACGTTCATATGCATTCACCTCAATACCCTCATAGTTTCGAATCCAACTAAGTAGACGAATGATCTTGAATAAAATGGAGTAGCAAATAAATATGTACCAATAAACAAACTCGCCTTTGCGTTGAAAAGGAAAACTGTAAAAACTTCTCACGGCTTAATGTATGCAAGGTGATCCGAATTTACCATTCTTAATAAATATTTAAGAAATTTTTTTTTAAATAGGAGTCATGATCCCATTAAATAGAGTTAAATAGATTCAAATCACAGTTAAATAGGAGTCATGAAATAGATTCCTAAGACAAACAAAATTGTGTGCAAAATTAGGAAAATTTGCCACAGAGAAACCTATAGTAATCTATGACAACCTATGGTACCATAGAAATTTGAATGGCAAGATACCATACGCCTATGGTAACCATAGAGATCTGTATGGCATTTATATGGCACAACGCCATAAGCCTATGGCAATCATAGAAGTTTGTATGACAGGATACCATAGGTCTATGGTAACCACACAGATTTGCATGGCATTTATACAGGCAAGACATCATAAACCTATGGTAACCATAGATATCTGTATAGTATTTATAACCCAAGACAATGCCTTATGGATTTGTACCTCACATTTAATATTTTTAATCCCATTTTTCTTGATACTGATTCGTGAGATATCATTATCAAGTAAGGCGGGATTATATACTATTCGGCTATCTTGAGAACTCCCCTAGCCACCAGACTCGTGTTTTGGCAGTTAGTATTTAGTACCGTACGGCAGTTACTACGGTTTAACTTCGGTTTAGGCACGGATTGTTAGGTCTTTTCTTAAATTCTACATCATTAGAAATGGTTTTCGTCTTGTTTCCACAGCAGCAAGCATATTTTAAATCGGGGGGAGTTTAAGTGATAGCTAGATATATAGATAACGTTTTTTATTCATCATTTCTATTTTTATTTGTGATGTTTAATGTGATTTTTTTGTTAGTTTATGAATGTGATTACGGGAAATGCGAGTTTTTTGTGAATGTGTATGTTTGTGAATTTTTTGTCGACTTTTTATTTGATTGCGATTCTAATAATATATATTAAGGACAGCCAATACAGAAGATTCTGTATTAATGAGAAAACTGAGTATGGTAATGAATTGTTTACCACTATAGATATTTCATGTCCGTACGTTTTTTTAATCTTTTTTTAAAATTCTTTGCTTTCTTTCTAATAGTATATTCAAATTGATAATAATCCCTTGGAAATTTATTTTCTTAACTTTTAAATTCAAGAAGTTTTCATTTCACTCTTACAGAAGTTACAAAAAAGAAGAAAAAAATTATAATATTTAAGAAGCAATTCATTCAGCATTCCGTGGTAACTGTTTTCGATCATTTAATCGTGTGTTATTCATAACCGTAACAAAAAAAGTTCCGCTACGGTTAAGGGAGTTACGCGATCGGCTATAGATATCCAATGCGGATATCAAAAGTGTAATCTTTGAAAATCATCATATTCACACCATAAGACAATACTAAGAATAACACCAACAAGAAACATAATTGTTTCAAGGTCGAAAAAGCCTAGGCGATTTCCTCTATCGTAAAAGGCCAGTGACTTCTTTAAACAAACACTAACTATAATCATTGAAGTATATTGTATTTGTTTACACTATTTACGATGCAATTCCATTTTGAATTAGGGGTTGAAGAACTTGAACTATTTATGGAGTATTTTTTTTTATAAACTTTTTACTGAAAGCGATAACGTGTAGAGTGGTATTTATAAATAAAAAAATAAATGAACAAGAGTTTATTTATTTTTTTATAAAAATTAACAATTCACAACAACTTGTTACAGTTTTGCCATCATAGATTTAACAACGTTCAAAATTTGTTTAATATTCCTCATGATTTTCGGCAATTATGTAGGAATTTACCTCTTTGTATTCAAAAAATTCTTTTCTATTTTTAGTCTTTAAGGCTGTAATGTTTGTTAAATCCTTAAAATTGGAAACATTAGTCTTTAAAATATTTTATAGTGAAGTAATATGCACAATGCGCCAAAAAAAAAACGGACAACAGTGCATAATTTTTTATCTAATGATTGGATCTTTACGTTATAGGACTCATACTTATGCTAGGACTCAAATATGCTAATTAATTAGTACACACGATATTTTAAGATACGGAATTAGACACAAAAACTTGTTTTCTCTGAGCATTCATGTATCTTTAATTCAACGGATTCGGATTTCTGTCTCCCAAAGTATAGGGAGCAGCTGCAATCTGGAAAATATGGTCCCAATAGTTTGACCACATTTTAAAATACGTAATTTTACATGACAAAATACAAAATTCGAACGAAATCAATGGAATAGTTCCCTAGAAATCGAGCTTTTAAATATGCAACTTCTTATACGACTTGGCGCTCTGTACATCAAAAAATTGTGAAGAAGTAATAAGCTGTTTTTTAAAGCTCTGTCACCAAGGAAAATAAAAAAAGCCATAGTTTTAGTGCCTTACACTTGAAGCAATGCGATGATTTTAAAATATATATATAATCTTGTCGTGAAGAATTATTTGGGCTTTAGAACGGACAAATAATTTAAATATTTTAAAAGTTATTTAACTTCTTTAAAAATCACCAATTAGGCGACATTTTTTCACAGAAAATTATTAAAATCAATGCATTATTCTCAGTTTTTGCAAATTTTCACGAGCCCAGGTAATGCAGCATTGGCGCAAGTTTTTAAATATTAAAAAATTAGACCACAAACGCTTTTCATTTTCACGAAACTTAGGCTTTTTTCCACATTCACGTTTTGCGCCATTGTCAAAAAAAAAAAAAAAAAAAAAAAAAAAAAAAAAAAAAANAAAAAAAAAAAAAAAAAAGCGTAGTCGTCGTAATTATTGCTGGCTTTAGATAGTTCTGCAAATTCACATCCGTAATAAAAAATAGCATATTATTCGCGAAAAAGCATAATTTAATTTCATATTACGACAGAGCCTTTGAAATACAGCCTTAATGTTAAAATTCCAGCATAACGTCCATACATATGGACAATGAAAACGTAATTTTTCCATATTTTTTTTTCACATTCCTTTTTAACAGAGACTAAATTCTGCATTTTAACAAAACTCAACTATTTCAGATATCTACTGATTCCGTTGCTTATAAAATAATTTTAACGTCAAAATTACGGGGAAAAAATCAAATCCACTCTTTCTTATTTGGCGGAAAACCACACAATATCTAGACATTAAAAAGAAATTAAAAGTTCAGAAAATGTTAAAAATCGCAGAAAATACTTATGCATTCAAGGAATAAATAATTTTTTTTAAAGATAAAAATGCGTCGTATTTCATCAATTTTAAAATCGATCATTAACTTATGCAGTTTGATAAAGTTAATGTCAATTTAGTATTTATAAAGATCATGGGGGTATCATTTCAAGTGCTGACAAAAAAGAAACATGTTAACCTTAATTGTAATTTCAGTACCGCTTAAAAATAGTTGGTTGAGAGCTACAGTTCTTCCGGGTTGGCAACTATGAACAAATATTTTCTCAAAAAGACTAACAGGAAAACCGAGATCAGTACACGGATCTTATAGGTGGATTGTGTACATTTATGTCTTTCACAGGTTATCTGTTACTTAACAATTCAAAAACAGCCAACACTTATTTAGGAAATTGTGAACAATACACCAAATTGAGCTTGATAGATTTACTACGAATGTGTTCGGATACGTTTTTAGCGATAAAAATTAATAGAAATTATATTAAAGGACTATAAGTTTGATCTAAAAGCTTTTACTATTTTTAAAAAAATGTAACTTATCTTTTTATTTTTAGGTAATAATTCGAAATATGCTGATAAACGCACACATTTTCATCATCACTGTGGTAAGTGTTAAACTCTTTTTTTTTATTTATTATTTTCTCAAGGAAAATTACTTATCTTCAACTCACAATATGAATGTAAAATATTTCAATATAAATTATTAATTTTTGCATCTTTATTCTAACCTTTTATGACCCAAGGTACTCATTAGGATATCTTCCCAAGTACACTGTACCCACAACCTGGAAAAATTAAAAAGTGGTATATGTATAAGTATTTCAAAATTTGGCAATCACTTAAAAACAATTTCTGTGTTGTGCTTTAGGCATGCCATACCAGATCTGAAGAGATTAATCTAAAATTATGTTTTTTTTTAACTAGCAGAAATAATAATTCATTAATTTTTATTATGGTTTAGAAATAAGAATAACACCACTTTTTGCATATTGGGTTATTTTTTTAATCCTCATAATTAAAGAGTTGAAAGGATAAAGACTCTTAAGTGACATTTTTAAGCAATTTGAGCAATAGCATTGAAGTTTATACGTTATTTTGTATGTTGAAAGAAAAAAAAAGATTTATGCATTGCATTTCTCATTTGAACTGTTCCAACATCTCCTCAAGGAAAGAAGGCTTTCGCACAATTTATTTCGTTGTCAGACTCAATTTAGTAGTCTGACGCCGGGAATACTAAAAGATCGGTTTCTGAAACTAAAGATTTCTAAAAGATCGTTTATAGTAACCCGTGCGAAGGCTTTCTCTTGTCTGAGATGTTGACTGTTCGCATCTTAGCTTGGCGTTTTAATATGCTGGCAAAAGAGATTGTTGTCGAACGTTTGCAGCCAAATGCATATGAAATCATCTTTCGCTGCTAAAACAGTCAAGGAGTGAAATTAGTATCCCTATCCGCTGATTTTTTTCAAAATTTAATGACAATGCAAAGTATATCAATGTTGTATAGTTAAATGAGTGCCAAAAAATCAAAATATTTTTCTCAATTAATCTTTTTTCAAAAATTAACGCTCTTCAATTGTGCTAATTTTATCTTTAGGTGTAAAAATTGTTTTGATGATCTTATTGAAATAAAATTTATAAATTCCTCAAATCTAATTTTTTGCAGAATATTTTATGCTCCAAGGCGATGGAAACAAAAAGTAAGTACTAATTTTTTTTAAAAAAACTTTATTTTTTCTTTATTAAGTTACATAAAATGTATTCCTATTTACACTATCAATACAACTCCAATAAAAAAGAATTTAAAATTTAAACATCGTTTTTAGAAAGTTCATATTTTACGCTTCATATTTTACAGATACGGCAAGTAAAAAATGTAAAAGAAGTATCACAAATATATTCTAACATTTTGCCATATATTCAAAATAAAATAATTAGAAACTATATCCGAAATTTCGTAAAAAGATTATATTTGTTGGAAATATTTAAGTGTTGTGTTGATAATAAACATAATAAAAATAATCTTATATTTTTCCTATTTTTTTAAGAATTTATATAGGACCGTATGGAACATAATAAACAGTTGACTTTACTGAGGGAAAATAACTTTTAGTAATCTGTGTTATCTACTTCGCTTCAGTATTAACAATTGCAAAATATTACACAAGATTTCTGTTATATATATTATGTTACTGTGAATGGCTGAAATAAGTGGTTGTTGACATCCACCAGTGAATGTAGACAAGCACATAGTCGCTTTGGTAAATGTCCGAAATATATACTAGGGCAAGTTAAGTGCCACTGCCCAATATACATTTGCCCGGTATGCCCTACATCAATGTTTTTTCAAGGTCAAGTGCCACTGCCCAGTATGCATTTAACCGGTACTCCGAACACTGATGTTTCTCCTAATCCAGCCTCAGCAGATATTAAAATGTCGAATCAATATAAAAATATCAACGAATAAATTATATAAAATCGGATATAACAAATATTTCGGACATTCACCAAAGCGACTATGTGATTGTTGACATTCACCGGTGAAAGTCGTCATTCTCTTGATTTCGATCATTCACGGTAACATATATACGACATCTCACGATTTAAATACACGCATCTGCTCCATTTCATAACGATTGCAACTCCAACATTTATGATGGCAGAGGAATGTTTAATTAAGGCAAACACCATAAAATTAATGAAAACTATGTAATTATGGCTTGCAATAAAAATCGAAATCAATACTTATTGCTATTTTTTTGTATGCTATTATTCTTTGTGTTATCATCCGACAAATAATTGTTATAATCGGATCTGAAACGTAATATTTTAGGACAAATAAACAAGACACGCTGATTACAACTGCAACGTGATTGGTAATTTTAACTTCTCTGGTTTTTCAACTGGATTCTGACAGTGTGCAGAGGTAACAGTTCTGACAGTGTTTCGAATAAATTTTTAATTAGTTAACAAGTACATTAAAAATGGACATTGTACCAAAATTTCTTAAAACAGTTTAAATTTGTACTGTACTTCACCTTGTGCAACGAGTCTGAGTTTCACACATTACGTGATTTTAAACGATGTTGTTGAGACAAACTCAGTACTTAAATAGAATTAATGCAGACCTAGTATACTATTGAATAGAAAATCTTCCACGGTTAACCTGAACTTAACTGTAAATTTTTAATTCAAAGTTTCAAAGCAATTCAAAACCGAAAAAATTTACATTTTTAAATTTGTTTATCAAATAATGAAAAAAAAAAGATATACATGGATATTCAGATTATTGGTGATAGATTGATCAATAATTTAATTTTTAAATTATTTTAAAAATTGGTAAAAAAATCATTTTGTTGCAAGTTCATAATTTTTTTTTGCCTTTCAAAAGGATATATATATATATTGAAAGTATAGCTACCATTTGCATAAGGAATGTAACGGATAAAATTTTTTGATTCCGTTGCAAATATTTCAGTTGGAATAGTCAGTTTGCAATGGAAATAGTTTATAGTTGTTCTAGTCATTAGCGCTATCTGTTGATGAAATTTGTAAAAATTTTTACGATTTCGAGAGACTAATTATCTAGTTTTTTTAAGCAGAGTGCATCAGATCGTTCTAACTCCTTACAATTTTCCTTAAAGGATTTTTTAAATAGGCGCTTATTTATGGAACATTCTGTTGTTCTCTTTTTTGCTTATGTGTTGCGTCACTAAGATGATCGATTAATTTTCTTTTGCTAATATGTTGTTGTTGATATGTTGTTTATTCCTTCAGTTTCTGTGGATTGTCACAGTGATCCAGAGCATATAGTGGTCAGTGTGCATACAGATGTATTATTTGAAGGATTGGTATATGTATCTGATAGATACGGTGATTTCAATTGTACAGCCTTTGGAACTAGAAATGACACAACAGTTCTTAAAGTACCAATGAAAGGCTGCAGCACTCATGAGGTTCGTAAAATAGTTACATCTTGCTGAAATGTATATTTTATTTTATAACCGTCGTTGAACAGCCGACCCAATTTTAGGTTTACGACTACCAATGTTCAACTCCGTATCATTGCAATTTTAAACTCAATTCAGAAGACAAGGAAACTCCTGGATCAAGTATTGGGAGAAATATGCCTTAGTGGAGGACTTTTTGATGGAACTAACATAATAACAGCATTTGCGTTACATGGAAAGGAAAACTACAAAAACTTTCCATGGCCTGATGACAAGGGGGCTTTTTCCTATGATCCGTTTACCACTGAGGATATTTTACGTGAGCACTATGGTCTGTGTGAGTCATGTGCGGAATTCGTATCGACCAATCATAGCTCGGTTCATCTCATTGGAATGCGGATGCTCTATCTCTTGAGCCACCAGGGCTCTGAAATGGCCGTTATATTTTATAAGAAATATCTAATAAATAGTAATTATTCGCAGTGCTTTGTAAAAAAAGAAACTAAGCGAATTTTCATATTGATTTAGTGCGTGGTTTTTTCCAGTGTCGAAAATTTGAATTCACTTTTTAATATTGAAAAACGGAGTTGCAAAGAGTGGAAAAACCCGTGTCATTTCCAAGAATAAACCAGGTTTTTTTTAGGAAGAATATTTTAAAATATTTTTTCTCTCATTTTCTGCAGTTAAAATTGGGATTCAATTGGCATTGATTTGAATGCCAATTCAAATTAATTGTTCATCTTCCAGCAGAAATAGCAATTTATATAAATATTAATTTCTCTTTTTAACTCGTATGTCATAATCTGTTTTTAATTGGTATTTTAACAGAATTTGCTTTAAGTGAATTTATAAAATTAAAAACATCGAATTCGACTTCTAACAAAATTCTGCATGATTAATAAAATAAATTTTTAGAAAAAGAATATATTAAAAATCATTATAATTAAACTAATGTAAAGCAAGCTGTTTAATTGCTACTTTTACTGCGGCTGTCATATTGCATACATTTATATCTCGATTCATATTGAAAATGTCCAGTTTTGTTTACCTTTAAAGTTCCCATTATTCCCCAAAATTCCTGGCTTTTTGTGCTATATCCAGTTTTTTTAATGCACACTTTAAATTATATCGATTAAACCGCGTATTACAAAATATGCCATGTGTTCCAGAATACAACGATCAAATTCAAAAGGTAGATAAAAGGCATCAAAAAGTTGAACACTTATCATAAAAGTTTCCAAAAACCACGTTCAAGGGTCGAAAACAGCAAAAACCATATGCAGGTTTTGATGTCACACTGAAAAACAACTACAAAAGAACTACTAATTCGCTAGCTGCAAAAAGATTTATTTGATTACTTATTACCAGTAGTTTTCAAAATGTCACCCATTGACGTCATTGCTCAGATTACAACGACGTAAGAACGAATCCGGAGGGTATAAGGCGATTTCAGGTTTACTTTTGACTGCTGAAGCGAAGACAATCATCGCTATGAGATCCTCCGGTACGAAAAAGTGGCAATAATTTAGGTAGGACAAACTACAACTGACCTCCACCTTGATAAGCTAGCATGTACATGTTGTTCACAATTTTCCCTCTCTCAAAGTGGGTTCTGACCCTATGCTCTATGGAGAATTTTCATTCCTTGATGTCTTTTATCACCCCATTGAATTTTTCGATCGAAATTCAAAGCACCTTGTACGCATTTTGAGCTGTAACCATTTTTTTAAACACACATTTCAAGTTATGCCCATTTTCTGCGATAAATACATTTTCTACTATTAGTCTAAATAACCATATCAGCCCATGCATATTCTCTTAAATATGTCTTATGTTTAAAAAAATAAGCATGCCCCATGCATTTCATGCTATTTATGTTCATTTTTTAAAGCGTGCATTTCAAACTGCTATGTCTATTTTCTTAGGCATGCATTTTAAGTTGTGTCCATTTTCTTCGATTTGTATTTCAATCTATGTCTATTTTCTAGTTACGTCAATTTACTTAAGCATGCATTTCAAATTAGGTCAATTTTCTCAAACATGCATTTTAAGTTATATCCATTTTTTTAAACATGCACTTCAAACTATGTCCTTCTTCTTGAGCTTGCTTTTTTTCAAGTCATGAATATTTTTTTAAGAGCAAGCATTTCAAGCTACCTCAATTTTCTTAAACATGCACTTCAAGGATACTTCAATTTTCTTAATTATGCTTTTTCAGATAAATCTAAAATGAAAAGTTACCTACAAAAACAAAGGAAGAAGTTAAATAGTTATTCTTACATGAATGAATTTTCATAAAAGCTTGATTTAATTTACAGAAACATCCAGGCCTCTTCATGAGTAAGGTAACTGTACAGCAAAACCCAATGATAGTTAGTGCCGGTGATGGTGAATATGAAGTTGGATGTAAACTGTTCAGCGGTGATCTTAAAGTTGACACTGACAACAACATTGATGTAAGGTAAGTACAAACTATTTTACAAATTTATCATTCTTTCGCTTGAGTGTAACAATAACTCATCTTCCTTGAGAAACGATTGAATGACGAGGTGACGTCCTGAGAAGCCTATGGCCGCCATCGGCTTCCCAGCCTTTTTTTTTCAATGACCACTTTGTTTAGCATTATCTCAAACCCGAAATATTAAAAAACGTTTAAGCGCGTAAACATTTAAAACTTTTAAAAATATTTACAAAATCTGGAATTTCCAAAGAACTTTTTATGATCTTGTTAATTAATTAATTTTTATTTTATTTTACATGTCTAAGTATTAATTGAACAGTTTCAGCTTTAAAATTTTTTTGCGTAGAAATTTTTTTTCTTCATTATTTATTTACCAATTTATGAAACTTTTTTTTAAATATAACAAATGTATAGTAATAAATTACTTGCTTGAAGTAATTTAAGCGTGCAATCTTATTGCATTAGGCGTTTGACAAAAAATCGTGAAAAGTTTTAAAAGCTACCACGTCTCATTTCTGACAATCTACTAAAGTTGAGCTTTTGCTTTTTATTTTTTTCCTTCCTTTTTTAGTAGTCTGTTAAAAAAAAAGTTCTATCATCGATAATTTATAAATAAAATTAAAAAAGAAATAATAAATCGAAAAACAGAAATTGAAAGTTTAAAAATTAGTTTACATTAATTTACAACAAAAATGATTTATTTTGCCTAAAATTCATGATTGCGAGAGGGCTTTTAAGTAAGATCGTCATTACACATCCAATGAATTGGGATATTTGGGTTTCCGAACAAATAAGATTAATTTGCAATTGGCCATCAAACAAGTTTGTGAAATGAAATGTAAACAAGTGTAATTGATTTTCAATTTACTGATTGATTAATTAATTTTTGTTTCAGCGGATCGTACCAGAAGGGTCCTATGATGACATCACCGTCACCCGGCCCTGAAGTTAAACTTCGAATTTATGACTTCGAAAATGATGTTTTTGTTGAAACTGTTCGATTAGGCCAAGTCGTTGAATTGGAAATAACAATAAGAGACGGGAGTAAGTTAATACTATTTTTAAAAATTTTGTTTGTGTATAATAGAAAAAGAGTCTGAAGGTTACACAAATTACCCACTCTACATCTTTCACCTTCTCCCTTACTATGGTTTCGTCAAATGTTGCTTTTTCCCCACGGCAGTACATTTCAATAAGGCGTGGGAGAAAAAAGCGAGATTAAAATTATTGTGCAGGAAAGGGTAAAAGCGCGGGGAGTGGGGAAATTATGCAGCCCTGAAGCGCCAATTCTATTTATAGAAAGTATAACCTATTTACTTAAAAGTCTTTATTGTTAATAGCAACTTGAAAAGAAGGTAAGTTATTATTATGATTCTTTTCGATGAAGTTAAAACGTGACTACGTAAACATTTTATCATAAGTTTTTATCTAAGAGACTTGAAACATTGTCATGAAACAGATATATAAATGCAGTCAGCACTCTCTAGTACGACCATCTTTACATCGACCTTTACATTATAACGTTCGATAACGTTTTCGTAATGTTACTTTAACGCCCATTTCAACGTCTGCAATAAGCTGTTCATTTCAATACTTCGAAAATATTTAGTTTTGTTTTCAATTCCCGATAATGCCACTTGAAAAAAAAAATTTCAGCAATTTTGTGTTCTTCGGACGCATGCCCTTTAACCCTTTATAAGGCCCTTTTTTTCCCTAGTAATGCTAGGTTAAAATATTTTTGGGATTGGGATAGATTAATAAAAAGAAATTCATTTAGCTTATTAATTAAAATTAATTTGCTTTTCAAGTTAATTTTTTTGGTGGGAAGTTGGGGGGGGGGTCAAAACTTTACCGATTGTAAAGAAGTAGCCATAAACTTGAACTTTCGTGCTTATAAATCATCTAATTTAAATTCTTTGCTTATAATAACAAATAAACTTAGTGAGAAATGATAAAATGAACGAACGTTCAACGCACAACAAGATATAGCTTCCCAGTGTTAGCCTCTTCTTTTTTTAACACCACGCAAAACTTTACTGTCGTCCGTATTTATGTGGTCCATATTTATAATGTCGTCCATACTTATGTAGGGACCTTTGCTGACTTTTTTCCTAAGTTATCAGAAGGTGGTGGACAAATCATGGATGGGCAAAAAACTGCCCATCAATGCTTAAAAATTAACAAAATTGGTGGGAAGTACTGGATTCTGGATATTGGTGGGAGCTCGGTATTTGGCGCGAAGAGCCACCAACCGATTCGTCTATACTAGGTAATCATGTACTTACAAGTCATGAAGTTTACTAGACATAAGCTGGGTAAATGATGGGAAGTATACTTCCCACGACCAAGGATTAAAGAAAAGGCTTTCATGCAACATTTTAGGTTTAACAAGAGGCGTTGTGATAAATTATTTTATCACTTTTTAGTATAGCATCGTTAAGTCAAAACTTGCTTATCAGCCATTAGTTATGAGTAAATATCTAGATTACAGTGGTACACTCATGTTATGTTAATACACTCATGTACAGTGGTACGACCTCATGTTATAACGTCTGTTTTCGCATCAACAGCAGGGATTGTTATATAAAGTGTTGACTGTAGTTCACTCTTAGAAATATCGGTTCTACTTTGAACTAAATTACCTGTACCTTGAATCATAACATGATTCCAATTTGCAGCTTTAATTAAGGTGTGAAGCTGAACCATATTTCCGATCCAACTGAAACAAATCATCTCTATTAGATAGATTATCTCTATTATTAGAATTTGTAGATAACAAATTATCTACAAATTTGAACCATAATATGGTTCAAATTTGCTACAATCTTAATTAAGATGTTAAATTACATCATGTTTCCGTTCCAGTTGGACTAAAATATCTGTATAATGAACCATAATATGGTTGAAATGGGCTAAAACCTTATTTATAGTGATAAATTAAAGCATGTCTCCGTTTTAGTTGAACCAGAGAATTGTATAATCAAGGTTCAGAAATACAGTAATATGGCTCACTTAAGCACCATCAATTTGCATCAAATCTAATTTGAACTATATTATGGTTCAAAATTTCTAAAAGTATATAAAAATCTGTATTTGGATATGAAATTATGGTGTTGATAATTTTCACTTACACCAAAGTGGTAGTTCAAAAATTAAATATTCAGAGATTTTAGTGCTATTGTATCGCCATTTTTCTCTCTATTATCTAGTTGCCAACCTATTATCTACTTGCTCTTTAATCGATAATTTTGTTAAAAGGGTAGTGAAAGTATAATTAAAATTAGAACAAGCAGTCATTTTTTTAACAATATTAAAACTTTGAGCATAACTGCATAATTATTAGAGCTTTCATACGCATGATTTAATTGTCTTTTTGTAATGATGCCAACAAGTTTTTTCGCATTAATGAAGCAAAAAAGTTTTAACCTTTCTTTTCTACCATTGGGGAAAAGGGTGTTGTTCGAGGTTTTTCAGATCTGCACACTTTTTGATTTCATCAACTTCAACACCATAATCACAAATAAAGAATTATAAGAGTAAAAAATATCATGCTAACCTAAGCATTAATAAAAAAGTAGTAGAACAAGATCAAATATAGAAAACAGACGATAATTTTGGAACTTCTTGGAGCTTCTTTTTATAAAGAGCTTTTTATTTTCCCTAGAGCGCATCTTCTGTTTTTACATACTATTAGTTTAAATTAAAGTATTCTTATGATCTTTTTTATGATTAACTTATTTATAATTACTGTCATGCTGGTGATTTTAATATAAATATGAATACTTAAAAAAGGGAAAAAAATTTTTACATCTTAAGAAACGGATACTGGCAGGTACTAAAAACCAATCTATGCCATTTGACAAGAGGAAAAACATCAATTGATGCAGTGTTCGCAACCCAGGACTTAAAATGTTATAACGTTTATGAAAGTTTCTCCAGGCAAAAAAAAATGACCAATGGGTAGCCAGTTATCGTAATAATGTAATGACAATTATCTTTCTTATGTAATTAATTGTTCTTATAATCTTATTAGAAATTATCTTCATTGTTTATTATTTTTTGTTTTTTTACTGAGCTATTTGATGAATTAAGCTTCAAACAAAACTCATTGTTACATTTTATGTAGCGTTAATATTTATCGTTTCCTTTACAGGAAAATATCAAGGTAGCGTTTCGGATTGTGATGCATACAATAACAACGGTACCCGATTTCCCGTTGTAAGGAACTTGTGAGTACCTCTTTTAGTAATAGTTTGATTTTGTGGAGAATGTATATGCTATTTAAAATACATATTCTAGGAGTAATGTCAAAGTTGAATGTAATAGAGAGAAATGGATTTCAAAATATATCTATGCAATAGCGAAAATGGAATAATATCATGCATTACTAGAATTTAGCCCTGATGCATCACTCTTCTGTCACTTGTCTATGAATTTAAACAATTGAAAGGTTAAGCCTGTCTATCAAATGTCTGTTTACAGTGATTCAAAAAAAAAGAAGGAAAAAAAGAAAGAAAGAAAGCAGAAACTGGACCATCCTCAATAACTTTCGATCTAATGATCGGACCTTCAAGTTCTAGGACTCTATATTAATGATTTGAGGGGTTGACCTCAAATATGTTAATTAATCAGTGCGGACTATATTTTAAATTACGAAAATCAGGCACAAAAATACACTTTTTTTGAATAAGCATGCCTCTTTTTCTTCTTTTTTCCCACGGATTCGGATTTCTGATTTCCAAAGTATAGGAGGTAGCCGCAATCTGAAAAATATTGTCCCCATAGTTTGTTTGGTCAGGACAGCAATCCAAAATTTGAATATCTTAATATTAATTTCACCTTTTGCGTATTTCGCCAAGTCTGGAGACTTTTTAAGCGAATTGAAAACCTTTTGCACACGATTATAAAATTCGTTTTATAGAAGATAATACCGTGTAAAAAATAAATTTCGGTAAATATTTATTATTTTTTATTATTTTATCAAGTAATAGTCGAAAAATCTGAATTTTAAGGCATACATTTTAAGGCTTACGAATATTTAAAGTATGTAATTTTACATAATTTGTGCTATATCCACTGAATAGTTCCTGAGAAGTCGAATTTTAAATATTCGACTTCTTTAAAAATCAAATTTTTCAGGAAATACTGAATCGATTTAGCTCAAGTTTTGTATTTTGCTATGCATAATTACGTAATTCAAAATGGCAAAAAAAATTATAAAGCTTAAAATTCAAATTTTTTCGACTATTGATTAATTAAATAATGAAAAAGGAATAAATACTTAGTAAAAAATTTTTCTGCATGAAATTATCTTCAGAAAAATGACTTTTATAATTGCGTGCAAAAGGTTTTCAAATCGCTTAAAAAGTTATCGAGATGTGGTGAAATACCAAAAAGTAAAATTAACATTAAGGGGTCCAAACTTTAGATTGCTTTCTTGACCAAACTATGAGGACCATATTTCCTTGATTGCAGAATCCATCCGAATCCATCATACTAAAGGTATGTTTCTTCAGAGAAACTACGTTCTTGAGTCTGATCTCGTAACTTTAAATATCGTCTGCACTAATTAATCAGCACATTTGAGGTCTCTCCCTCGAACTGTTAAGTCCTTAAACGTGAAGATCCCATCATTAGAACAAAAGTTATTTGTAGGGTCCTTTTTTGCGCACTGTATAAAGATAAAAATATTTTCGAAATCAATTCTATTTTAAAAATGAATTTTTTTCCGTTATTGACCCAATTCCACATTTATAATTTCAAACATTAGCCTTTTTACAATAAAATTACAATAATTACAATGAAATATTAAATATCAATGAATTAAGTGAAATATATAATATCGTATGTCTATGCACAATCATAAAATTATTTTTACATTTTATAATATCTACAAAAACTTAAAAATTAATTAATTCCCATTGTTGTGATCTGATCTTAGGTTTATATATGTAAACACCAATTTTTACAGTGAAATATTTAATATCTATGCAATGTCTATCTTAGTTACTATCTCATTAATTGAAGCGCATCATACTGTATGTCTATATATACACATAAAAATATGATAAAAATATTTTATTATCCATGCAATTTTAAGAATGAAATATTCTTTATTTCGCATCGTGTAACCCTAATTATTATTAACACTGCTCATTATTAATTATTCATATAAGCATCGGTTTTTTCAAGAAAAATGTATTGGAATATCAAATCCTATTTCTATATCGTCTTCCAAAAAATAAAATTTCCTTAAGCCTTATTTTAGAACGTGTATGTTTATCTTTTTTCTCCTTCACAAATGTTTATGAACATGAACATGAAAGTCCTTATTTTTTATTCATTTGTAAAATTCAAAATTATCACATTTTTTCATTTTGATATATTTTATTTTGTTTTAAGAATGATAGTTAAAAGTAATAATTTATAGTAAGTTGACGACAATTCTTCGATTCTGCAGAATTCTTCTAGAGAAAAATAAACTCTCATCAATCTTTATAGCGTGAATTCTTATCTTTTTTCTCCTTAACAAGTGTTTATGAATATGAGCATGAAAGTCCTTATTTTTTATTAATTTGTAAAATTAAAAATTATTTCATTCTTCATATTTTGATATATTTCATTTTGTTTTCAGAAGGATAATTTAAAGTAATAATTTATAGCAAGTAGAAAACAATTCTTCGATTCTGCAGAATTCTTCTGCAAACAAAAATAAAATCTCTTCAATCTTTAGAGTGTGAATTCTTATCTATTTTCACCTTGTTTTTGAATACGAAAAATCACTATTTTGTCAATTTAATTAAAATTTCACTCATTTCGGTTTATTTCATTTTATTTTAAGAATGATAGTTTACAGGGAAGACAAAATTATAATTTATAGCGAGAGGAAGATGATTCTGTCATAATAGTATTTCATAAGGAATTAATGAAGCATGTAGGAAATGAAATATGCTCCTTTCAAATAAAAGTATTCTTCATATCACAAGCTTTTAAAAATAGTTCCAGAACGAAAAGAATTCAGGTGAAAGAAATAAACAACTCACGCGAGTTTTCAAAAATGTATAAAAATAGTACAATTGTGAATGAAAATATTTATGAAACTAAATTTTGTTTGCGTCATGTGTTGACATTCTTTGAAGTTTGATTTCTGCACGCAAAGCTTAGGATAAATTCGTCAAATGCTTTCAAAAAAATTTTTTTTTACACAATGCAATTTAATGAATGCGAAAAATAAAATAATGAAATCATTTTTACGATTTATCTTTTTAGGTATATTTAGAATTAAATTGAATTTAGAAATAGTACTGGTTAAAAATAGTACTAATACCCAGGTACTGGTTAATGGAAGGGCATTTGGGGCATATACCTTGGATTCTAACTTGTAAGGGACCCCCAAATGAGAGATTTGTGTTGGTTTGAGAAACTTTTCCTGGTATTATTTTTAATACAATACTTCATACAAAAAGACTTAAATCTTAATATGATCCTATAATTAAGACATAAATCTAATGTACAACAAATTATAAAGCTAGACGCAGGAGGCACAGACAAACAAAACTCAAATACCATGACCAAACTCATTGAGGGGTCCTTTCCTCAAAACACAAAAAGTGTAATTTTCATGTTTTGTAAGCTTTGGAAACGTCAATATATCAGAATATTCATTTCGTGTTTATCTTAACTAAAAACAAAACATTTATTTTATATTTTTATTAATACGTATTATATGAAATGTGAAGAATTCTTTCACCAAAATTGTGGAACGTTTGAAATAAGCATAAACCTATATGAAGACCAAGGGGAGGGGGGACGGTTTATGTCCATGAAAGTTGATTCTGAGAAAGACGAGTTTCAATGTTAGAGAATATACAGGAGCAAGAATTTGATTCGAATCTTAGAAATAAAAATATACACTACAGTTATTTAGATCTCCTCCCCATACAAAATTTCTATTTCCCATACACAATTTATAATTTCCGGTGTTGAATTTATTTATTTATTTATTATTATTATTTTTAATTAATTTTTTTTTGTTGAAAATTGGGTTGGATGATGAGTACCGTTTTCTTTCCAAAATTCCTCCCCAATCAATAAACACCTACTCACTAACATTACACTCGTCTTCTTCACTATACTTTTCTTTGTTCTCCTTGTTTCTCCTCCAGAACGGCCCCATCTTCACTGTGTAATAACTCTTGGGGAGAGCAGATTTTCCACGTTATTGACTGGACAACATTTAGTAACCATCTAAATGCAACAGACAGCGATCTAAACGCTTCGAGAAAAGTCTAAATTTTCGAGATCAAAGTTCGAGTTATGAAATCAGTGATCAAAGTTTTCGAGAAAAATGGTAATACATCGATACCCTCCCCACCCTTTATCTTCATATCTAACAAATTTCAACAAAAAAAATTATCAATTTTTATAAAGAATTTTTAATCGGGCCCTCAACTGTCACGGAATCAGGGCCACGGGATGATTATCCCCATTTTCTCAACCTTACCCAGTCGAGTATGGCCTTGCAGACGAAAAACATCTTATATAACAAATAAAATACTCTGGATTTTGTTTTAAAATGTCTCCTGAGACCGCAAACGGTCTTCCAAACAGTATTTAAATTAGCAAATAAACAAAAAAGTAAAATATTTCGTCAATTATCTTCCAAAATCTCTCTTAATTCGTTTTACTTGTCAAGTTTTAAGTAAAGATTAGTCTTGCAACAACACTCATTTACTACTATGAATACCCATTTTACTACTATTCATTAATTGAATTTTTTTTTTCTCTTGTGATATGTCAATCTTCATTTGCTTCCTCTGAAGCATTTTCGCCCTCGGTTAAAATGCTTCCCATTCAGTGTAAATGACGTCATGACACACCCACCATTTTATTATGAGCAATGAATGGTTGGAAATATGTACGGGATGTTTTCGTGTGATAATTACTACTTTTTAAAAATTTTAAATGTTCTTTAAATGTATTTTTTTTTATTTCTATCTGGAAAGGATTTTTTTATTGGTATTTACAATGTTTCCAAAAATTTAAATTATATATTTTTTTAAAGCTGTGGAAAGGTTTATTTTTCGTTCATTTTTCATGTAATATTTCAAAAGGTTTTCGAATAAGTTATTATATATTATCATATATTACAGTTATGATTTCTGCGTAGATATATATATAAGTTCAAAATGTAGCATGAAAACATGGAAAAAATTACAGAACAATGGGGGGGGAAAGGGGGGGGAGGGAAGAAAAATAATAATAAAAATAAAAATAATAAGAAACTGGGAAAAAAAATCCGAAAAAAAAGAAGAAAAATAAAAATCCGTAAAATAAAAGATATAAACTTTTCATCAGCTCACACGATTAGATCCGTAAAGAGGAGTGCTTTCTAATATTGCATCAGTATAGCCAAAGCAAAATATATTAATACAATAGTGTGAAGAACACTCAAAAATATTATTATAAAATAAATTTTTACAAACATTTTCACACTATTGTATTGATATATTTTGCTTTGGCTATATTGATACAATATTAGAAAGCTCTCCTCGGATTCGTGTGAGCTGATAAAAAGATTATATCTTTTACTTTCCGGATTTTTTTTATATATATATATATANAATTGATAATTTTATTCTTATTCTTTAGTTAGCCTGTATTCTGAAAGACACTTTCCCTGAATTTTTTTTGGTCATAAGTTGTAAAACAAACATAAAATATACTGGGGACATGAAAATGACTGTTTTTGTGAGAATGACCCATATATATATGGGCGAATCTCAGGAATCATTAATCTATATGTCTTCAAACTTTTCTTATAAATATATAATATAATAAGCGAAAATTAATTCTAATAAAATTTAAAATTACAGGAATAGCTATGCATTACTAACTTTAAGATACGTACAGTTTTGATCGCGAGTAACTTGCTTTTGGCTTTCATTTCTTACTTCAATCCTACATTTGACAACTTTTCATGAGTGTCGTTTAGAGTGTTTAACATACTTTTTATTTTTTTTAAATATGTATTCTGTTTAAAAAAAACTGAAAATCACTAAAAACATAATTTAGTAGCTCAGATGTACTATCATATTTTCTTGAATGATATTCTTCGTGAATAATGACGTTTGCAAACACTTAAAGTTTGTCGCCAAATTTTGGCACGTCAAACCGTAACCAGCGAAAATTGAAGAAAAAAAGGTATACAATCAAATTCTGCGAGTTTCATGTTAGTGATATTCCAAAAGCTTATTTAAAGTAGAACAAACTTGTATCACTATTATAGATAAATATTTTTATTTGTAGTAATTATAAATTAATCGAATTTATCACAAACTGTCATTCGGTGAGGTAACAGTTACGATGTCAAGACCGTAATCAGGCGCAGATCTAAAAAGTAAATGTTAAAATCAATCAAAATTTTGATCACACGTTTGTCATTACCTAATTTATTTTCTGTGTTGTGTGCATCGCATTGCGTTGCATCTGAGTAAAGTTTTCGATCTATACCCTAGTTTGTTCAGACCGTAACCCTGTCAAACCGTAACCTCAGGATTAATTAATTGAATTGAGCATAACAGAACTTAGTTTTTTCCCTATGTTTTACTAATTGAAGATATTTTTTGACTGAAAATAATTAAAGTAAGCTTTTTTATGCATTTTATAACAATTTAACTTAATATTAAAATTTTTAATCATCTTTGAATCACAAAAAAAAAAAGGAGTCGACAGTCTACTAACAAAATTTTCCAAATAAGTAATTTATTAAGTGAAATAACATAACTTTGAACAAAAATTCTTATGTGTCGAACACGGCCCGACATAGAAACATAGAAACAAACTACAAGTTTATAATCTCGAGCTGAGTATTGCTTTTACCTGTATATGGCCAACTCTTTGACGCAGAATTCTTATTAAACATATTTTTCATTATTTTGTATTTATTTAGGCCAAAATAAGTTAAAAATATCATGTTTAGCATTTTAATAATTTATGATTATAAAATACAGCATGAAACGCTGGCGTCTTTTTCTGCGTTAAAAGTAAAGATCTTCCAAACACGGCTCACCTCCAAAAAATAAATTTTCAAATTTGCATTTAAGAGAAACGGTTATTCATTGTTGAAATTTATATATTTTACCAAATTAATTATTGATAAATTTTTGAATCTGACTGAAAAAAGACTTTTTTAAAAGAAAGTTTTAAATTTTTTTTAATAAAAAAATTTTTTCTTTATTAAAATATTTTTTTAATAAAAAATTTATTTTTTTGGATTTTATATTTTGGAATAAATATAAGTCCAATAATCTAACAGGATTTTTTAGTAGACTGTTTTTTAAAATTAAAAAACACCAAAATATATTTTTGCTCGTATTTAGGGAGTCAGAAAAAAAATATTAAAAAGGGACACCGGTGACCTATCTAAGTGCTAATGTGATAATGACATTACTTCCAAATAATAATTTTTCAAATTTTGATCTAAGATAAATTGTTATTCATTGTTGAAATTCATTTGTTTTATTAAATCAATTATTGATAAATTTTTTAATCTGATTTTTAAAAAAAATTAAATTTTTTTTCAATTTTTTAAAAGATTTTTTTTTAATTAAATTTAATTTAAATAAGTTTTTTTAACTAAATTTTTTTAATGAAAAATTATTCTTTTTGGATTTTATATTTTGGAATAAATATATTTCCGATAATCTAACAATTTTTTTTAAGTAATTTTTAGCTGTTTTTTATAATCAAAAAATGCCAAAATATATTTTTGCTTGTAATTAGATCGTCAGAAAAAAATATTAAAAAGGGACACCGGCGTCCCATCTGCGTCAAAGTGTTACCGTGATAATGACATTTTCTTCCCTTTATTCTCTTATAATTCAATAATTTTCTTATTATTGTGCATTATATAATTAAAAAAAGTCGTCATTATTTTCAAAGGAAAAATAATATTTTTTTCTTTAAAGTTAGAGTGATAAATGCGTATAATTATTTCTGTTCATTAAAACACTCTGAATTTAATTGTAAGATTCATTAGAAACTGACAACGCATTTCCTTCACCATTATTCCACCAAACGCGTTGTTCCCATTTTATATAATATCCGGTAACTTGCGTTCCACTCGACCGGCTGTAAAAGGCACGAAGCATCGTGCAATTTAGTATGTCTTCAGCTATGCATTGCGTGTTCATCAACGTGTGGTACTTATATTGTACTTCCCAACAAACTGTGGTGACTCTTCCCCGCCATGACCTTGTAGTGCCACCCGTCAATGGCTTTTGCCTACTTGGAATGAGGCTATGAGCTGATTGGCCTACCTTTTGATACAAAGAATGGAACTTGTTTTTTTATTACGTTTTTTATTTCTCACAGGTAGGGTAATGGTAGAACAATTTTTATGACAAAATTACGTAGGCGGTGTCTATGGCAGGGATGAAAAGCTTTTTTTATCTGCCTCTTCATCCCGAGAGAACGTTCGAATCTGATCGGACGCTTAGTTCTTTTTTTCAAATCCGAAACTCGAGTCTTTGATTCCAGAGGCAATGATTTCTTTTTTAATCAAATAACTGTCTACCAGTTTGTGATGCGTAGGTCAAACTTTTGGCGTTAATTGATCTCTTCCTTTTTACACCGCCAACTGTTTTGTTGAAAAATGAATCCACTAATAATCGTTCAGAAAGAGAGGAAATTAAAAGGGTGAATACGTCATTTCTATGTATTTCACCGAACGATTTTTTAAATAGACAATGTGTTCTCTTGCCTTTCAACTTCTCATTATTTTTTAAGTGAACAAAAAATGGCCATGCTTTATGGTTTGTTTTGATTTCGAACTCGGTGAATACAACGGTGCTGTACTTTTATTACGAACAATAAATATTTCTTCAGGGACAATAACAATGAGAAGTTCAAGAAGTTGATTTGGAATTTATAGTTCGATAGTGAACGTGAAGGAATTCTTTTTCTCACTGTGGTTTATTTCGTCCTGTCTGTTGTCATCAGAGAAATGTGAAACACTAAATGAACTTTTTTTTCTGTCAGAATACCTGTGTGTAACACAAAAGAAACTTCGGATTTTCAATCGGAATACTGAAATCGTTTTCAAAATTCACTGAAGTAAAGATTTTGAATAATTTTCAAATTGTTCCGATTTATAACTATAGAATTGTTCCAAATCGTCAATTGGTTTCCTTTTGGAACACAGTGAATATCTAGAATATGGATAAATTATTTTTGTCTGGAGCTTTTAAGAGCTTTATCAAGCCACGGATTTTTGTTACAGATGGAACAACTTTCCGCTTGCATTACAGAGTAACAGCGATGATGCTGACAGTTGGTAGCATGTTAGTATCAGCCACTCAGTTTTATGGTGATCCAATTCAATGCATACAGTCTGATGACGTTCCGAAAAAGGTTCTAAACACTTACTGCTGGGTGGAAGGAACATTCACTTTACCAAAAGCTTTGGATAAGGAAGTTGGAGTTGATGTCGTTTATCCCGGAGTTGACAAGAAAAGACCTGGAGACGACGTGATCCACCATGCCTATTATCAGTGGGTCTGTTTTGTTCTACTCTTCCAAGCCATTTTATTCTACTTACCACGACTGGTATGGAGATGTTGGGAAGGCGGACGACTTAAGAATTTGTTGCAACAACTCAACTCTCCTGTGATGGCTTATGCCGAAAAGAAAAAATGCTGTGATCAACTGGTTAGGTACTTCCGATTCAATATGAAGCACCACTCGGTATATTCATACAAATATCTACTGTGTGAAACGATGAATTTGGTGAATGTTGTAGGACAGATCTATTTTGTGGATTACTTCTTGGGAGGTGAATTCACAACATACGGTGTGGATGTGTTACGATTTGCCACAAGTTCTCAAGACATGAGAACTGATCCAATGATTCGAGTATTCCCGAGGCTGACTAAGTGCACATTTCATAGGTATGGACCTTCTGGAGACGTGATGAAGTACGATTCGCTTTGTCTTTTACCGTTAAATATTGTGAATGAGAAAATTTACATTATTTTGTGGTTCTGGTTTGTGGCTCTTGCTGTCGCAACAGCCTTCTCGATTTCTTACAAAGTGATTCTTCTGTCTTCCAAAACGGCGAGATATTTCGCAATACACTCGCTTACAAGACTCACTCCTAAACAACAGTTAAGGACCATCGTTGTGAAGACCAACTATGGTGATTGGTTTGTGCTTTTTCTTTTAGCAAAGAATATGCAAGTTTTAAATTTCAAAGATTTTCTAAGTGATCTTCATAAAGATTTTTCGAGTCCATTCATGCGCCATGATCATGACGTATCCAGTACCTAAATCACATATGTTTGGTGTAACATTATGCGATCTGTTAGCGTGTGTACAACATTGGAATCCTTTTTGTATCATAGAACTACAGTGAATTTACAAACTTCATGAACATTGAACCCTTTTCATCCCATTTTTAATTTATTTCTGCTATTTAATTATAAAAATGCTAGTAGTTCGTAACAGAGGTTTACTGGCATTATGAACAGGTGGTAAACATTTGGCTATGACTAATATTCTTAAAACATTATTCAGGTACATTTATTTACATTATTTTTATAGATTTAGATTAAATAAATTTTGGAACCTTTAATTAAATAAAAAAAATTATTTTATGCAGCTTATGCTTCTTAGATCTTTTGTTATTTATTGGAATATCTTACAATATAATTTATGCTTTCTAAGTGTAAAGCTGAACTTGATGCGTATTGCTTATATATTATATTCATATGTTTTTTAATACATTACCGTTCATTAAATTTTATTGAATTTTCAATTTTACATATATGATTGATAAAGTTAAAAATTAATGAAACTTCTAAATAAAAATGCTGCGTTAAATGCTGTAAATTGCGTAAAATAATATTTGTTTAAATTTTTTCTTTCATTGCTTAGATTTATTTGTCGATGAATCATTTCTTTGCATATTAAAAACTATTTTATGGAATCTATACAATTCCATTATTTTTAAATATGTTTAAAGGAAAAAATAAGTGTCAAAATGATATATCTGAAAATTATTTCAAATAAATTGGTAACCGTGAAATATTTGCTTTGCGAATAAACTATTGTGCCTACAAAAATTTGAAGATGATTAATTATATTTTTAGTAACTTATATAATTTAAATTAAAAAAATTGAGAACTATATATTTATTGTTCATATTATTATAGTACGCAGTTACAATTAGCCTAGTAACTAAATGAAAAGTTCGAAAGAATAAAATATTGATTGGAATCTTTTGTTTACGTTACTAACCAACTACTAAACGACAATTTTTTAATTAATTCAGTTTTATAATAATTTTATAATTTATGCTTATGATAGTTTATTATTTCATTATTTTCTTTCCTAAAATATTTGCAAATTTGATTTTGATTATTTAAGTTACATGTTAATTTTTAAATTCCTGTGAAAGTTCATAAATATTCGATGTGTTCAAGTGCGATGGTCGCTAATTTTTACTGTCAAAACTCTTGAAAACTTAGAGCAGCTTAAATAATTTTTTTTAATGATTTTTTAAATTTACAAGGAATCTCAATATTTATAATTAAAAATGATAAGTTATTTATAACACCTTTTTAAATAGATGCATCAATTACATGAAATCCATTATGATTTAGTTAAATATTAAATTCATTCATGGTATAGTTTTGATAATTATAGAAATACTTATTTCTGTAGTGTAAAATCGCATATTTAAAAGTAATTTTTTTCATTTAATAGACACTCCTCCAAATTTCATAATAATTAATTTGATAACATAATCTAGTAAACGCGATATTGATAAAATTTATCCTTACTGTATACTAATATGAAATTCACACTAATTATTACACTTAATAATTTTTTTCTTATAAGAACATTTTTATGCTGATAGTAGTGTAATGAAAAATCACGAAAACAAAATTTAGTTGATAAAGTTTATTAAAAATAACAGAAATTGTATTTGTTTCTCCTATTATGTAAATAATTAATTAAAATATTCTGTCATAGTTCATAAAATATACTCTATGAAAATGAATAATTATTGTTATTTAGGAAAATTGCGTAATTAACAAAACATTTTTTGTAATTCTTTGATTTTTACGTTAGTGGTTTAAAATGTTTTGATAAGTGTGAAAGGTAAACATTCTACGTACAAACGCCTTCATTCAAATATGAAATCATAATTGTTTAGGTATTAAGCCTTATTTGTAAATCAAATTTTAATTTTTTTAATAAAAGAAATGCATTTAGGCAACACTTCAGTCAATTATTAAGTCCATATGTATGTAAATTTTAGGAATATATTAAATATTGCATTATAACTGCCCTATTAAGGTTGGGTATAGAAAGTATGAAAAAGTTGCAAAAAGAATAACCATTTAGAAAAATAAAAAAAGCTAAAAATTAATAATGGCCGGGTGAAACATAGTTAGTTGTACATATTACGAAGTTTGGCTAACCCAAAAANAATTGCGCTATCGCTTAAGGGGCTAAAGAAAGATGATGAAATAAAAGAATGTATTACAAAATTAAAAGAATTAGTATTATTGATTAAAAAAAACAGGATATTTATAAATTAGGCTGTGACCTAATGTCACAATAACTTTTATACTTTTTATTTCTATTTACAGTCAGCGTTCTTGCGCTATTACTAATTTAATTTTCCTAACCAGAAAATTCAAGATGATCAGTTAATTTTTTCATAACACTGAATTATAGAAATACGGGTAGTTTTTATTATAAAAAAGTTATTTTACTTTTATAATCTGAACAAATAAAATAATACTTTACTATATGCACACTTAATTAAAATTGGTAAATTGCAATTTATTATTTGGGACTTGGTTTGAAAAAATCGGATTGCTCTGACAAATTAATTACGTACTTTAATTTACTCCATTTTCATACTGGTTAGGATACCGGTGTGTAATTGGTTTAAATTTGGTTTGATTAACCTTCTACAAAAATGCTTAAGTCTTTTCATAGTTGAATTTAAATGTATGCAACATAAGTGTAGGTTATTTATGTCATTTTTCGTAAAAGATAAATTTTTAATAGCATTCAGCACAAAGGTATTTTCAATTATTGTTACAAATCCTTAAAAATTGTGTTGAGGCTCTAGTATAATAAGGTATAATAATTGTCATGTAAATGGCTTATGATCAACTAATTAATTCATTTGAAAACATTAGGACGATATAATAATAAACCACATTTTCACATAGCTCAAGAGAATATTTTTGGTGAAAAACACCATGGTTTCCATGTTAATAATAAAATGTGCATATATATTAAGATATTATCTATTGAAAATTTTGAAAATCGTGTGAAGTGCCGATCTGGAAAGGATATTAACAAGCAGTTTGTTGTAATAATAACACCATTGAAAAAAGTGTGGCATATCAATATATTTTCCAAAACCATTCAAGTTTTATGCCACAAAAATTAATTTTATTGCGCATGCATCTACGTGTTATTAAAAATAAATTCCTAATTTTACTTTATTTTATTTTCAGTAATTATTGTTCGAATAATTTTTAGAACGATGGATGAATTTTAGGGATTTATATTTCAAAAAGATTTAATTTCTGAAAAACTATACAGATATTAATAATTTATAGTTTTCATGAAATAAATTTATTAGTGTGTAGATAAGTATGACAGATTAAATTAATTCACAAGCACTTAGTTCCGTTTGTCTTCAAAATAATGGGCTCAATTCACTCATGTAATAAAAATAAAAAGTTTCTTTCATACGAAACCGGTTTGAAAGCAAAGAAGACGGGGGTTTTAACTATCTCTTTTTATCATAATATATTATAAAAGATTCAAGTAACTACGCTTTTTTTCTTTAGCGACTTATTCACCTTGAGTTTGAGATTGAGGGTTGAAGAAAATTATACCTATACCCGAAACATAACATCCATTTTGAATGGCCTTTGATCTGAATGAAGCAGCGAAGCATGAAATCCAAAGTAAGGCCGATGTATCTGCATCTGCCTTAACTTAATAATCTATGTTTTGAAAAATATTAAGTTTCGTTGATCTATTTACATGAAATTAAATAACTGAAAAATTATTAAAAAAGTAAAGCATTTTTGCTTCACTTAAGTAGTTATTTATTTTTAATCGTTTTCTGTAAAAATAATTTTTCTTAACTTATCTTGGCTCGTATCCTCTTAAAAACCGAACTTAAAATAATGACAAAAAAAAAAGAAAAAAGAAACAAAAACGATTTGTATTTAAAAGAATGTAGCTTAGAAGAAAGTAAACTCATAAATGCGATAAAATAATTTCTTTAAAAATAAACAATTAGTTAAACTGTATTGTTAGTTATTTTTCGTTACATAAAAAATAAAACTTTTTTTTTTACCATTTTTTGCATATTGTAGGATATTTTTATAAGAGTATTCTCCTAAAACCAAAGCTTAGAATAATGATAAAAAAATACGATTCGCGGTTAGAAATATGTAGCTTAGAAAGAAAATAAATTCATGTGATAAAATAATTTACTTAGAAATGAACAATTAATTAAGCTGCTTTGTTAATTATTTTTAATTTCATAACAATGGTACTTTTTTTAATTACCATTTTTTGCATGTTGTAGGATATTTTAATGATATTTTTTCACAGTTTGGGATCATGAAACAAATTCAACAAGACTCAAATAATTAGATATTTGCATGACATAAAAAATACATTACTTGAATCAAGCAATCTTTCTTCTTAATTAATTCAATTGATGAGGGTAAACTCTAATTTATTTTCAAGCAAGACAATCGCCTTCCAAAGGCATACAAACAAAAACAAATCCTAATATATTTTTTTTCTAAGTGATAAAATTGACCGACTTTACGACTATCAATATTCAAAACCATAATCTTGTAATTTTGATCCTAACCCAGAAGATAAGGGAACTCCTGAATCAAACATTGGGCAAACTGACCCACGAGGAGGACTTTTTAATGGAATTAACCCACATTTGCGTTATATAGAGAGGGAAATCTCGAAAACCTCCCATGCTTAGCTCGATGGCAAGGGGATTCTAACCCATGATTTGACTACCACTGAAAATATTTTAAGTCAGCACAGTGATCGGTGAGAGCTGCAAAGTTCGTATCTACCAGTCATCACTGGGATTCTAACCTGGGTCACCTCATTGGGAGGCGAACCCTCTATCCCATGAGCCACCGCGGCTCTTTATCATACTTCATAGTTTTATAACTAGTGTTGGACAGCCGACACAATTCTGTGTTTATGACTATCAATGTTCAAATCCGTAGGCTTGTAATTTTGATCATAACCTAGAAGAAAAGGGATCATCTCAATCAAGTAGTGGGGGAAATTTACCCTTGAGGAGGGCTTTTTGATGGAACTAATCCGCATTTGCTTTAAACCGCGAAAACCTCCTACGGGCTGCCTGATGGGGGCTCCAGTACGAGGGGACTCTGGCCCATGATCCATCTACCTTTGAGGATATTTAATGTCAGCACTGTGGTCGGTGGGAACCGGGAGAGGAGTGCGTATCGACCCGCCATCTCTGGGATTTGAAAAAAGGTAACTTCATTGGGAGACGAGTGTGCTATGCTCTGCTCGTTGTTAAGTACTTGTAAAGTATTTATTTGGAAATAGTACTAAAGAACAG